TAGTCTTCAAAAATAATATCTACACTTGATATCTTTTTCATAGATAGATAATTTATTCTCTTTTTAAATTTTTTGGACGACATACATACATTTATCACCATAATTTCTTTAATGTCGAAAATCAAAACCTTTTCCCTAACAAAGCCTTTAATTATTTCCTAAAAGTTTAGTTAGGTTCAGTTTATTAATCTATATCTTATACTGCAACTACTGTGGGTCTTCTGAAATATCCAATAATTTACTTCTATCTATACAGGGTGACTGGTGAATTACTATCGATACTTGAAGACGTGATATTTGACGATCATATATGACAAAATAAAAATTAATATAACATAAATATCAATAAACTTCTGAGTAAAGTTAACCAAAAGTTATGTAATTAATTACGCATCGTGTGAACACCCTATAGATAAGGTATACACACACACATATAAACACACGCGTGCGGCGGCGTGGTGTTGTATCAGCACGCCGCCGCACGCGTCCACACTTGGAACACTTGGAACGTGTCCATACTTTATTTATTTATACGGAAATTTGGTCAAAAATTAAGTACCTATTTTTTTTACATAATTCGAATGAGAATCATGTACCGAGTATTCTCCTTAAATATTGATAGTAATTCACCAGTCACCCTGTATATGTTCTGTTTTAGTTGAACTCCTATCATTGTTATGGAATACATACAATTATTATCGTCAATTCGCTCCAAAAGTGGCTTCACATATTAAAGAAAAGCGTGCGCCCATGGAAAAGAAGTTGAAGGACTTGGTCAAAATCTGCACCTGGGACAGAGACGTCAGTTACTGGAGTGTGAAGGACGCAGCAGACAAGGCTCATAAAGCTTTATACAAACACACCAAGGAGTTTGAGGTCAGCCATATTGATATATTTATTGTAGTGAAGCGTTTAATGCTACTTCCAACAAGGTTGCCTTAAACGTGCAACGCTCGTGGGGAGGGGGAATAGAAAGAGACAGAGCGATAGTAAATGGATGGATCAATTGTGAATTTTAAGCAATATTTATTAAGTTTGTCTTAAAGAAACAATATGAGTTCACTATAAATTGATATTTATAACTTCCTATTTTCATTGAAACAACACGAATTTTCATTTCTTCCGTACGGAGGGACTCCATGTTTTTTATTTATAAATTCCTTCGATAATTTGTAAGTCAATGTTTGTAATATAAACCATTATTGTGTACTTTATCATCTTATATTATCTTAGGTAATTGATGTGTTTGTGAAGTCTGAGTAAATATCTTACTTGAAAAATTGTCTACAGAAAGTTCTAAAGGAGATTGGTATCGAGTTGTCTGGTGGACACGGCGAGTGAGTCTATCGATCACGTGGGTATTTGGGATAGACCAAAGAGGGCTGGCACTGCAAGCAACGCCGCGGGCGGAGCGTAGATGATAGATCTTCAGAACCATGTAGTACTGAACGGAAACATTAAGGTATATAAACACGTCATTTTTATTACACTTAAAATATAATAATGATAAAAGATTTGGTGGTTATGAATGATTTCGCCCGTCTTCTGTTTGATTTAGCTGTAAAGGTAGCTAGCTACAATTGCAGTTTTTCTGTCTTTAAAAAAAAAAAACATTAGTTACAGTTATAAATATGCAACTTACGCATTGCGCAATAATGTTTTAATAATTGAATTCACTTTTACAGAAATACGAATACCAGCTCGAACAGCCTTGGCAATTAATACAAGAGAACAGTTTCCAGGCAAAGATTCCGAGTCTGTTGAACAAAGCTCGAACATTATGTAAGGATAGCATCGCTAACACGGGCTAGCCCGCGCTACTACAAGCCTTGGACGACTTTGTAACCTTGGTTATAGAGACAAGTGAACATAATGAATATTTATTTTATACACGTAAAATTGTTTCATTTTCTATATTGGTTCTTATATAAATGTGAATTGTCATTTCTATTTCATTTAAATAATTTCTAAAAATTAGACTTATATCCGAAAAAAATGTCTTCATAAATAATAAAGTGAACATACTGTAGTCGTTGCAAACGGCTGTCGATAATTGTTTACTGCTAAGATTGTAACAAATACAAAACATTTTAATAATAATACTCTATATTGTAGGTGGATTCAACATTGCCGAAAGACAAACAAAAATGTCAAGCTAAAAACATAACGCAGCAGAAGCGTAAAGCTCTATCGGATCTGTTCAAATATTTGAACAATATCGGCTTGAATTATCGCACGGGTCTCGTTATACTATCGGCTTCTGAAGACATGTATGATTTCACAATACTACCCGTCGATTTGGATGCCGCTATGAGCTATTTGAAAAGCAGGTATTTACAACTATATAACAAAAAAAATTCGACTTTGTCCATGTTTTTGTGTGATCACCAATATTTTGTTATTTGTAATGTATATTTATATTTCTTTTTGCTATAAGTGTATTGTTAAAAGTGTAACAGTTATATGATATAATAGAAATAGAAATTAAATCCGCATTATATTGATATTCCATAACATTATAAATAGTGTGAAATAATAATTTGTGCTAAAATTTTAAGTATATACATTTTATTTCCAGAAATATGCTAACACTCAGAAGAAGTCGATTTCGAAACATATTTTCGATTTACGAACCGTAGCTACAAATCTTACAAACGCGTTAGAAATAGACTCTACAGGATGTAATATAACTTCGCTTGAATAAATACTCAATGTGTTAGTGGAATGCTACGCTCATACGAACATTCTTCTAGAACAATTCAATGTCGTTCTGAAGTCTATTCCGGAAAAACTGATTCTGAGCCAGATTTCGACAGAGTGCTATCAAACTCACCTTTGGCTGATTGTTTCAAGGATAACGATGAATGGAAGTCTCTTAATAAAAAAATTAAGTCAATTATATCTCTAGTTGATAAACAAAAGGCACTGTTAAACAAATTATCTCGAAACCCAAAACAAATCGAAGGATCCATTAAGTTACCTCTAGTTTCTCAAAGTCATATAGAAGTTAAGAATAATTTGGACGTTATAATAGAAAAAAGTGAGAAAATTATTACCGAATATCAGTTTGTTTTCAAAACGACGGTCATAGAAGACTTCACACCACATCGTCCAATACTAAGAAACCTTGAAAATATGGTGGCTTACATTAAAGATATAAAAACAGAACTTGACAAATTGGATGAACCGATAGACCAAGAAATGGATGAAACTGACGGCACAATGTTAGAGCAGACTGGAAGATGTTGTGGCTACGATGTTACTTGTGATGCAATCGTTGTACAAAAAACATCTGCCGCCAGAGAAACAAGCGGAGAATATGGACGTTATAAACGCTATTGATGAAATTATACATGAAGGTGAAAAAGTTAAAACCAAAGAAATTTTAGAAGATAATCATTTAAAAGAATTACTCCAAGAGAACATTTCGCCTGATTCAAGAATGTTGCAATTGGAAACTCTAGTTACAAAATTGCGCGAACTTTTGATTAACTATGTGCAATATATTGCGATTCGGCCTGATATGCAAAAAGCTAGAACTGTTGTTATGAGATTGGTACCGATATTGGAGCTAGTTATACTATTTGTCCAATATTTTGTATCACTAAAAGTTGGTGTGCATCCTGTAAAATACTGTTAGTGCTTTTGAAGATTTTCTTGGATCTGGCATGGAAAGGGTAATTATATCGATACAATTTAGATTAAATATACCACAATGTTAAAATGAATAAGTTGGGGTTGCATTTAAATATAAAACTTTATAAATATCTAAAGTACAGAAAATTTATAAAATATTATAAAAACTTTCATAAATGGCCACAAATATAATAATTTCAATAAGTTGTTCCACTGAAGCTTTTTAATTCATATTGTACTTACGATTATCCTTAAATAAGTTATTGTTTAAGAATGTTTTAGTCAAGTAATAAATTGAAATTTCCTTTATTTCCTTACAGATTCTGCCAACACTCAGAACTAGATTCAGAGGAGGGTGAGGGAGAAGGCACTACTAGAGACAGCGGTATGGGACTTGGTGAGGGAGAGGGACAGAAAGATGTCTCTGAACGCATAGAAAACCAGGTGTGGGAAAGGGATAGATAGAATTATGTTCCCGAAACGAAAGATCATTGACTTTAGCGCTGTAGACAAAATTTACAACACACAAAAAATTATTGTTTTTATTTTCAAAGGATTAATTGGACGACGCGCATAAACCGGGTGAAGAAATGAACGAACAAAATAAAGATTGTAAGGAAGAAGAGAAGGAGTCAATATGACTGACGACTTTGATTCTCATTTACAAGACGTTGAACAGAAAAGTTGATAATATAGTCATATAAAATTAAGTTTTAAGCATATAAAATAGGGTTGTAAATTTAATAAATGTCCTTTTAAATTCCAGAACAATCAGATGAAGAAAATGATGATGACGATGCCGATGCCGATAAACAAATGGGAGATACAGATAATGCTGCCGAAAAATAAGTGAATATCATCATTATTTTTGCCACACATTACAATAATTATTGTAAAATTTGATCTTAAATATCGAATATTTTTTAATATGTTTTTATTCACATGTATAATTGAAAGCAGAACCAATTTATTTGAAATTGACTAATATTGTTAAATTGTCATAAAGTCGGTTAGCAAGAGTTAGAACGTCCAATATATACATATGTTAAGAAAGATATTAGGAAAATAAAAGGATGCCTTTATTGTCATTATTGTATAAGTAAGATTCTATAAACTGTTTTAAAAAGACGGTATAGTTAAATTGCATTTGTATGAACGTTACAGCTCTAGTTAAACACTCTGTATAATATTAACTAATTTTGTGTAAAGTTATTTTAATATTCCCTATTTTTTGTTCTTTAATGAAAAGGCTCGATCAACAAATATGGGGATCCGAAGACGAAGAAGATATAGACGAAGAACAAAATAAGAACGAGGCAAAGGTGAGAAAGAAATGGGCTCTAAAGAATAAGAACTAGGAAAAGATGAGCAGTGAAGGAAAGGAAAGGAAAAAGAAAGATATTAATGAAATGGAACCCGAAGTTGACGATGATCAGGTTAGTTTATTCGAATCTTTCGTTATTATTTAAGTTTTGATGTTAACTATATAGTAAATAATTTATTTTCAAGGTTGATCCCTATCATGGAAAACAACAAGAACTACCTGAGTCCGAAAACTTTGAAATGCCCGATGATTTAAACTTGGACGGCGAAGAAAAAGACGATAAGGTAAACATATATTGTTCACGAAACTCTTCATAATAATTGTTTAATAAAATAATAATAAACTTAATATCACATTCAGGATGGAGAAACTGAAACTGAAAATCCGTTTGAAATCGACGCTATGAAAGAAGCTTTACAAGAAGAGCAGAAAGAAAATGATGGTAAAGATAAAGATAAAAAAATAAAAATTTAGACTAGGTAGACTTATAGTATAATCTTCTATCTTCTTCTTCTATATATATCTTCTATCTATATATATAAAAATGGATTGCTGTTCCTTAGTCTCGCTAAAACTCGAGAACAGCTGAACGGATTTGTCTTATCTTAGTCTTGAAATGTTCGTGGAGGTTCAGGGAAGGTATAAAAGGTGAGAAAAATTGGAATAATTGCCGGGAAAACCCTAAAACCAGCCCTTTTCTATTTCCCATACAAACGCTTTTTTTGACATTAGATTTGACAACCAACTAATATGTCAATCATTCTGTTTGATTGATACAGAAAAACCTGATTATTTATGGCCTCTAAGACGGAATAGATTTCGCCTGGTCAGCTATATATATATTACTAATGACGAAACTAACGCGGACGAAGTCGCGGGCAAAAACTAGTATATATATAAAAATGGATTGCTGTTCCTTAGTCTCGCTAAAACTCGAGAACAACTGAACAGATTTATCTTATCTTAGTCTTGAAATGTTCGTGGAGGTTCAGGGAAGGTATAAAAGCTGAAAAAAATTGACTCATTACTGGGAAAACCATAAAAACAGCCCTTTTCTATTTCCCATACAAACGTTTTTTTTGACATAAGATTTGACAACTAACTAATATGTCAATGATTCTGTTGCACTTCAAAACATGGAGATTTATGGCTTACAGGTAAACTCCTAAAATATGTATAAATAAAAAAACGTAATAGATATTTCTTGATTATAGGGCGATACGAAGTTCGCCAGGTCTTCTAGTAATTTCATAAAATTAACATTATCGGATCTACTAGTCGATTTGTTATACTACAATTTACTGCGTTGACTATTTTCATTAAGACACTTTCAACCGAAAACCAAAGTTTTAATTGTTCTTTAGAGTTGTTAACCACAAAAACCTTCATTTAAAAAGCAAACTTTAGAAATATTATATTCAAACAATTATCCGTTTTAATCGAAATATTTGAGTTCTACGAGTTATTCTTTTAATTAACAATTTTTCTATTACTATTATAGCAAGAAACTGCATCAAATTATTATTATTTGTGATAATCTGCAAAATATATGTATTATGTTGTGCATTTGAATGTGTTTTTATGATTTAAAAAAAATTCAGGCAAATATATACATATGTAAGTACAATTTGAATATTATTCCGTGATTTGTATTTGACTTCTAATTCGTAAATTTGAAGTACAAAAATGCCGATCTAGTTAAAATCATATTTCAATTTTAATATTTACAATGTTTTCTTACTCGATATGTGGACGTGACCCGTTTGATATATCACTATATATATATTTTTAATAACAGAATTCCCTGTTCAAATATAAATTATGTTTATTCTTTTGTAAGTGTATACAAAAAGATACTCTTGAAAATAAAATGGAACAAATATCATCTATATTGCAATATTATACAAGGAATATTATTTTATATTAATTATTATTATGTGAGGTAATAAAATAAAACATTCTCAATAGTCGTAAAAATCCATGATACGTGTATTATATTCATTTCATATCAAATTTAAAGCCAAAATTCTATCCCATAACAATACAATAATGACGTATCTCAATAGTGGCATCAGTAAATATACCGATAACTTCATCAAAATCCTTCAGAGCGTTAAGAAACGATTGTAATTATTTCTCTTTCGATAGTTTCCGATAACAAACTACCATTCACTACAAGTTGTGATTGACAATATGATAGATTACAACATTATGAAGACTGAAAGCAAATCAATTTTCAGTGTTACAGTCTTATATGAAATGTATACTTTGTAACTAATGTCATTTACTAAAGTATTAAAATTGTATGCACTTTGTTTTTATGCGCTTTTAACTAAAAACTCGATAAGAAGTTTTGCATAAATTACATGGGTAAAATTGTATAAATATCAATTTAAGATTTTATGAAGTAATCATTTTATCCTGTTGCATTTTACGACTGTGACAAAAATATGTTTAAGGAGAGAGCAGGGAAGTGGGGGAAGGTCTACAGCTGTGTTGAGGGATTATTATGGTACACACATAACTCAAACAAATATAACATTTATGGCCTCTTATAAAATAGCTTTAAGGCCTCGGCCTCGAATTTTGCGGGCAGCGGAGCGGCGGCGGCGGCGGCACGGAAACGCATACTGTTCTCCAAACTAGCGGGTAGCGGGCACCGCTGTATTCGAGGGTCGGTCCATTTGATTATACGCGTAAGATCCTGCCGCTCCCGCTGCCGCTCCGCTGCCCGCAAAATTCGAGGCCGAGGCCTAAGCGAAACTTCCGGAATACTGTTTGTATAAACATATAAAATTTTACTCTATGAATATTTTTAATAATAACATCATTTATCATACACGTTATACTATTACTTCTATTAAAGTTCGCTAAATAGATATCAATTATTTGTTAGACCTAAATACATTTTCAAATTAGACTTTATTATAATATGTATAACATTAATATTAATTAATAAACAATACCCTTTTTCGTTTTAATGTAGTGCATATGTAGACATTATTATTATATAGAAATTAAGAAAACGTTATATATCTAAAAATGGTGTTTACTCGAGGGCTCGCGTGTTAAAAGATTTTGGATAAGAAGTTTCAGCATTGCTGCGAGCATTTTATTACATTTCCATAACTCTCCACTCATAGATAATTGCCAATAGAATGATTTTATAGCCTTTAATATGGCAAGCACCCAAGGACTTTTTACTCTGAATTTAATAATTCTGTTTGTAACTTAAATTTTTTTATAATTTTATTTTGAAGTCATTACATAACTATGATTGATTGTTTAACCTTCTGCTACGGTAATATAAACTCTTTGTTTTAAAATTTATTTTTAAGTTTTTAGTTCGGTTTGCTATAAAAACGTGTTTTGTAGTGTTTTAAACAATTATTTATTTATTAAACTAGAAATTAACTTGAACTCATTGTTCGTTGTAATAATGTATAAAACTTTATGCCACTAATATTTTAGCAACTTGTTATAATAGGGTTTTTTACATAATATAACTCCCGCAGTATTTTATTACTTAGCCTAACTTTACAGTGATGTACTAATTTGAGACTTCAACTTTAATTAATTACAAATATAAAATGGGTTAAAATACGGTCATTAACGCGATTTTATATTAATTTCCTTATACTTGAAGTTTAGATTGGTTTGCTGTATCAATATCTATAGATATGATCGGTCTATTGCCACTTCAGCATAGTAGTTTGTTTCGCAATGTCGTTGGCGTCAGTTCTATAGCGTAAACTCTATTCTTAACTCGGTCTGCTAGAGAAAGTAAGAGTTTGTAATGCTCCATAGCTCCTGAACTACCTTGAATAATTGGACCAGTTTTATAGTAGGTGACTACGTTTTAGCTCTGTAGGTTAAGTTTGATACGACTGGAGGAATAGAATTTAAATTTTTCCACAAAATATGCCAGGATCGAGGCTAGAAATTTGCTATGCTATTTTATATGATTTTCCGTTGTGAGTGAACATGGGGAAAAAGAGTTAGGATCATTATTACAATTCTCGACAAGCTGAGCTTTGCATTTGTGTGAGTGAAAGTAAAAGTAGAGTTAGAAAAAAAAACTTTTAGAATTCAATTTTATTATATTTTAAATAGATACATAACATAAGTGCGAGAGCTATTCTAGATTAAAAATAAAATAAGCAAAACTTGTTAAAGGCCGGATGGAAATATTAGGGAAAAAAATTTATTAAGAAATAAAAATTTTGAAGAAACAATACAAAATTTTCTTCACTTGACATTGCGTTTTCAACATTTGACGCTGCTACCAGTACAAAGAGTAAAGTGGGGAAGGTGCGGGGCGGACTAAAAGCAGTATAAAGGTTCTAAACTATAATAGAACGTGGCATTCAAAAATTTGACATCACACCTACACTATCCATGTACGCTCACACAAATGCAGAGCTCAGCTTAAATCAAACGCACTAAATCAAGGTGGAAAGAGAGAGCAGGTTAGCTGCAATAAGGTTTGATTGCTACGTATGTTGTTTTACAGTGACAATGTATGTTATTGACTGGCTTTTTGACTAAGTTACAGTTCAATTGCTACAAAGTAATCAAACTGCCGGGAGTAAGAAATGTGGCACAAATACTAAGAAAATGAGTTGATGCTTGTATTTCCGATCCTCTAGATTTGCAGAATCGTTTTATTTATTTTTTCTATTATTTAATTCGTTCACACATGAAGATATGAGAAGCTTTCAAAAGATATTCAAAGTTGTTGGAACCTTGTTAAAAACCTTACAGATTAGGTAAATTAAAATGCGAAAAGGTGTCACGAGCGATAAACCTTTTTAGTGCTAACCCCCTTAAAACAATAAAATAACATGGAATATTCAACCAAACTGTTACAGGCGGTTTCTTTCTAAAGTTAGACCACGTAGCGGTGAAAAGCCAAAAATAATCTCAAGTCTAAAAAAAAAATCTTAACAGCTTTGGAACGATAACTTTGTATAAATCATAAGAACAGCGTAATTTTTTTACCTATATTATTTAATAAAAGGTATCTTCCTAACATTTACATTGATTTTTTAATTTAGTTATAAGATTAAGCGAAGTCAGTTGTAGTGATAATAAAAGTCTGTTAAAAACAAAACAATTCGTTATCCTTACCAATAATTTCATATTTATAGAATAAAATTACAAGAAAAAATATATTAAAATACAAAGGGCAATTAAATTTTATATGCCACGAATAATCAAATCTTTCTGTTCATAAATTATACTGTTACGGAAAATATACAAAAAATCTTAAATATGTACAGATTTTAATTAAATTTTATTTTTTGTGGGTGCTTTTTATAAATAGAACTAAATGGCATTGTTTCTATTGCGTATGTTGTTTCTTACTGATGCTATCGGAATAAATAGTTACAAAAAAATTATTCGGTCATGATCAGATTAGAATTTGATAGAGTCATAGAATTTTTTTGAAATAATAATATCTGTTGGCTTTG